CACCCACACCCCCCCAACCGCACCTACACCCACACCCCCATCCTACACCCACACCCACACTCTCGCTGGATGGACCTGGCAATATCCCATGGATACACTCGCCAGCAATCTAATGGCTTTGAAATGGGAAGACAAATGAGAAGCCATTATGTTGTCTACAATTCGTAAACCGAGGATGATCCCAACACGAAAAAGGACTGGAAGACTCAAAAAGTAATAGACAAACCAGAGTGTATTGTTCATTACAATGAAAACATGGGCTCAGCTGAAAAAACTGATATGCGGATCAGTTTTGTAGAAAGAATACGAAAAACCATCAAGTGGTACAAGAAATGTTTCTTTTATCTGATGGATTTATCCACATTGAGCGCTTATATGCTATTCAAAGTAAAGCATAAAAAACCTATTGAATTTAGCGATTTTCGAATTGAATTGATTCGACAACTGATTGAGAGATGTGCTCAACCCAAAAATCTAATTGGCTGTCCAACTATCGGAGATAATCCTATACGTCTTACTGCACGTCATTTTCCATCTCTACTTCCACCAACAGCAACAGTAAAAATGGCACGAAGATCTTGTATAATTTGTAGTCATACAAGCAGACGCGAGAAAAAGCGTACCGATACACGTTATCAATGTGGTGTTTGTAACGTTGGAGTTTGTGTTGTAGGTTGTTTTGAAGAATATCATACGTTGGAACATTTCTGAATGCTTCTATATACTAATAAAGTTTATTCCAGATTGTTTCGGAACAAAGAAACAAGAAAATTCATCTTAAAAAAAAACCGTAACCAAAGGATTAAGAAAAAAGTAAGTTATTGGGAAAAACTGATCAGTCTCGTTCATCTAGTGAATGTGTTCAGAGGCGATATAATCGGGTGTAGAGCCCTCCTGGTAGTGCCATGAGTTCGTCGTGATTGCCGCTTTCAACTATGTGACCGCTTCGCATCACGAAGATAATATCAGCGTTGCAAATCGTCGACAAACGATGAGCGATAGTGATCGATGTGCGGTTTTCAGCTGCACGTTGTAGCGCTTCTTGAACAATCTAAAAGAACACAATATATTACAGAGATATGCAATTTTCATGTAAATAACTGACTTGCTCGTTTTCACCGTCCAGCGCACTTGTAGGCTCATCCATGAGTAAAAGTTGCGGCTTGCGTACAATTGCTCGCGCGATGGCTAACCGTTGTCTCTCGCCACCAGAAATCTGGGATCCATGAAGACCTACCAATGTGTCGTAACCCTGGAAATGAGATTCATCAACTTCATTTTATTTGTTTGTAATA